AAATTCCCTGAAGATACCAAGGGACCACTATAAGATCCAAGAGCATTCTCGTTTTCAGAAGACTTTCAAAGCCAAAGAACTTCCAGGCAAGTGAAGACCCTCAAAACTAACTTAAAATATCTAAGGACTTCAGGGACCACTACTTAAAGGTACTCGGCAATCTCAGCAAGCACTAAGCTATCTCACAAACACTCCAGGGGGCTTTCTTGATGTTTATAAGGCAAGGACCTCATACCATCACAATGCCTAGAACCAAAAGACGTACCCCCAATCCAGAGTCCGTGGCTCTATAACTATACACAATGATCTTTGGGCAGTTAGCCCTGAGACTATTAGTCCAGGTGCTCCAGGTACTCACTGGAAGAACAGATCTTGTCCTGGGTGTTGGGAGCCCTGTGTTTGCTCTCACTTTGACTAGGGGGCTGATGTAGCCAGGCAGCCGTAGCTCAGATCCTCAATCACAGAAGAGAGCAGCACCCAGAGTGGTGTCTACTACTAAGCCAGAATTCAGGTGCCTACCTAGCTACATATGCTTTCTGGGCTATGTGAACCATGTAGGACACATCCTAGGGAAAGACACAGGTACCATTTTTGGTGTAGGAGCTGAAATTAGCTTAGATTCACTGCTTCTGGCTCTGTCGCCAGTTGCCACAGGCCTGGAGAAGCAGGTTGGAACTTTGAACTGGAAAGGGCCAAGGGGCTCCGCTCTCACTGATCCTGATCTCTAGTGGGCCTGAGTCCAGACAACCTTCCTCTAGAGGACTCAGCTGTCCTCATGTGCTGCAAAAACAGGGTAAATGTCAAGGCTTCTCATTACTCCCCCTACAAGCAGGTGCTCACTTAGAGGAACAAAAAAATAAGTGGTGTCTGTAAAAAAAGGGCACATCAGGATGTTAAGGAGAGCATCAGTGAGGTCTGAGCAAGTGTATTCCCTGACCTGAACCTCAATTTCTCATGTTTTAAGAGAGCACCAGCCTGCATGATGCTCCACCCATGGAGCTGAAGCAGTTTTCTCACTGGTCAGCAGCTCCTAGAAGCAGAGTTCAGGCCCAAGAAAAGCACAGCTTGACCCAATAGTTCTGCCCAGAATTTGGGGGTACAGGCAGGGTGAGGGAGCCTGGGTTTCAGCTTGGAGCCTGGGTGTCAGCTCAGAGCTCCTGGGACTGAGCCAGGCCCTAGAAAATTGGGCTGACTCCTCTCCTGGGCCCAGATAGGACTGTTCACTTAATTTCTGGAGCTTGGTGAAAAGAAAAGGACATAGGACATAAGGTGCAAGGGTCAGGAAGCTGTTCTGGTACCAAAGTCCTTAATATGTGACCCTCAAAACAATTAAGCATCAAACCCCGGGGGTGTTCAGAAGCCAAGCAGGTGTACGTCTCTCAGCCTGTGTCCTGTAATTTTCTCCAAACATACCTTCTGAGGCTACAGCACCACCTGGCTTAGAGAGAAGTAGAGCCAACGAGCTGACTCAGACCTAGCTCCAGGATTTCCAGATCAGAACATCTCATTTCCAGAAGGGCCCCCACAGTGGGGTCAGGTGATTTTAGAAAGCAAAGATACCCCAACCCATATCAGCTATCATCTCAGAACTATCTTAGCTCTATTCTCTAGCCATCTGACTATAGGTCCCCTCCTAGCACGATGATGACTGTGTCACCATGAGAATCAAGTGAGTTTAAGACACAAGATTGCCTGGCAGAACAAGAGAGAGTTTTCTGTGATTGTTCTTTTCCCTCCTTTCCATCATGGCTTAGCTGTCTGGAGATGAAAAGCCAGCTGTCCTGGAAAGCCAGGGGACAGAGCCACAGAGTGTCAGGATGAGCCCAGAGAAAAGCTTTGCTGGAGGGAGGAGGTGAGGAGGAGGTAGGTGTGCACAGAGAAGAGCTCAGAAAGCAGAGATGGGAGGGATGGAAGAAATCCCCACCCCCAGCCCAGCCCTGTGCCTCTCAAAAATGGGAAAAGGACCCTGTGTTTCCAGAAAAATGAGCAAGAACTCTTTTGTATTGGGGAAGGCAAAGACCACACCTACACACAAAGACAATGCCTGAGATGTGTGAAGGCCTGGGTTCAATCTGAAAGAAAGAAAGAAAGAGAAGGAGAGAAGCAGGGAGAAAGAAAAAGAAAAGGAAATTTTTGACCTAATTCTCATCTGCCTCCATGGGCAGGAACCAGGGGAAAATGTATACATAGGGAACTGGGAGATAAATAGATGAGTCCAGGTCTCTACCAGCTCATGGCTCACTTTACTCATGGCTTGCCTGGTTCTGGAAACATCTCAGCCCGTTGACAGCCCCAACAAACCTTGTTGTCCCCTGACTGTAGTCAGGAAGGGTGCCTCACTGGGATTCAGCAGGCTGCCCAAACAGGACCCTTAAAATGCACAAACATGTGCCCAATTCTGGTGAGCACCCCGTGATTTCTGCCACTTCTGTATGGCCCACACACCCCCAGGCTGGCAGCAACCAAGGAGTGTCCATTTCGAAAGGCAGGCACAGGGCAGGTTCCAGGGTCACAGCCCAGACAAAAGGGCTTCAGGAAGGGAAGCTGGGGAGAAGGGAGAATGGATGGATGTGTAAACGGCTGGTCCAGTTCTGCAGTAGCGCCCCCACTAACCTTGTTTCTGCCCTGCGTTGATGCCGAGCGAGGGGCTCCCACAAGACAGGGGAGACGTAAGTCCCACTCTGTCTCCCTCTCACTTGCTGCCCTTGGCTTCTCCCAACCTCCCTGCCCTGAAGTCTAGCCCTCAAGACCCACCTCCAGACACGATGGGCTTCCACCAGGGCCTCAGTTTGACTTAGCAGAGATGCCCCAAGGGATACCAGGACAAGCAAACATGTGAATCACCTCCTACTTGTGGGGTCAGAGTGGGGCAGGCAAAAACTATGTATTAAAAAGTGTTGCCCTGAGCTGGCCCTCACCAAAGCAGACAGGTTTTGTTGTTTTTTTCATTTTTGGTTTGGAGGATAGCTGGAGACGGTGGACAGTGAAGGTGAAGTGGTAATTGAATCCACAGGCTATTTACCACTGAGCTGCATCCCCAGCCCATTTTATTTTTTATTTTGAGACAAGGCCTCACTAAGTTCCTGAGGTTGGCCGCAAACTTGCAATCCTCCTGTTTCAGCCTCCTGAATAGCTGGTCAGGCAGCTGGGTAAATCCCAGGCATGGGCCACCATGATAAGCTCAGAAAACAAGGTTTGTTAGATGCACAGCTATAGAATTGCTCCTTTGCTAAGACCAGCCCTCAGATAATTCCCAAATCCCACTGGTAATCAATCTCCTTCTGGGACTCCCTTCCAATTGGTCAACCCCACCTCTGCACAGTTTGAGTATTCCTTATCTAAAATGCTTGGCACCAAAAGTGTTTGGATTTAAGATATTTTTCAGATTTTGGAATATTTACATACATACGTATGTATGTAAATGATATATATTGGGGACAGGACAAGACCCAAGTCTAAACACAAAATTCATTTATGTTATACCTCATGCACTTGGCCTAAAGGTAACATTACACAATGTTTTTATTGTGTCTGTGTTTTTACCACAACCCATCATATGAGTCAAGTGTGGAATTTTTTACTTGTGGTGACATGATGACAACGTGTTTCAGATTTGAAAGCATGTGGGATTTCAGATTTTTAAATTAGGGATCTTAACCTATAGTTCCAAAGCAGACTACTGCGTCCTGTGAACATGTGCTGAGGCTGCAGAGGAGGGAGGTTGTGCATAGCCCCAGGAGCAGTGGGCCCTGAAGCAGAAGGAAGTGCTGGCGGGAGGGGTCTGGATTTGAGCTTCAGCCACCCACACCAGTAAACTAAGGGAGGGGATTCACCCAGCTGCCTGACCACTACAAAGTGTCTCCAGGCCTCAGGACTCCACCTCCAAGAACGGAAAGCCCAGACCTAGGGCTGGCATTCAGGGCCTTTGAGCCCTAGCCCTTGCCAGGCACCCTCCACCTTATCTCTGGGCACCCAGGATAGCAGCCATTCTCCAGGCAAGCCTGGTTCTCCTCCCCACACCTGGTAACCTTTGCACATGCTGCTCCCTATGCCTACAATGCCCCTCTCTCCTTCTCACAGACTCCCTAGGGAGATTTCATCACGTTCTCCTTTGGCCTCCATATTGCAATGCAGAATGCCACACTCTGTGGTGTCTGGCAATGAAAAGTCATCTCTAGCACATGACAAGCAGCAGACACCTTAAGGAGGCCTCTCCCACTGCCCATCATCAGGGAAAAACCTAGAGGGAGTCAGGGCTTGTTCGTCACTGGGAATTTAGGAGGTGGGGTGCAGGTACTCATACTCCCCCCAAAAGCCACTGGGGCTCAACATTTTCCTGGACAGTGTAGCTCTCCAGCCTGATCATTGGACAAATAAGTTTGTGACAAGGAATTAAGAGCCACTGATGGGTCTTTTCATCAGGAAAGGTACCCCAAAAATCCCCAAGGGACAGTCCTGCAGGGATTTCTCTCTCTGGGCCTGAAAAACAACCCTAATGATTTTCAGCCTTCATATAACAACAGTCACTGAGAAGAGAGCAAATCTTGGAAAGCCACAAATCCTAAGACTTTGGACCTCTGGTCTCAGGAGTCCCAAGGGAAAGCAAGTGGACTAGCTGCACATATGAGAAAGGGTCCTGAGAAATAGAGATGGTTTCCTTCCCCAGGCTTCCCCCATAAGCTGCAGGCTAGCACCTAAAAATGCTGCCAGAGGGAATGGGGAAGTTATAAATATGGAATGGTCACTTTTGAAGTAATCACCTCTAGGACAAGCCCTCTGTCGTTGACCCTTAATAGCAACATCCACATGCATGTAGAACTCTATGTAGAAACAAGCAAGATAGCAAGTATGGACCTGTGTCTGTGTCCCCAGCTGTGATTGACAGGAGAAGACGGGAGCCCAGTGGGTTTGGGTGTGAGGATAAGCAGAGCCAAAACAACGGGCCAGTCAGACTCCACCCTCCCCATGAGACCATACCCGCCAAGCAGAGCCAAACTCACCCTTCAGGGAGGCCACGTGTGACAAGGCCTGAGCGTAGGTGGCTGTGTTCAGGAGGGTCCCTGGTAAGCAGGAGGGGAAGAAAGGACCAGCAGGACCCACAGTTCGCCCCAGGCTGGCAAAGATAGAAATTTTCATTGAGTACCCTCGTGTGTCTGGGCCTGAGCTCCCTGGGCCCCAGGTCCAGCCAGTCTCACCTCTGCTGGGCCTCCAGCGCCTCTTTCTTGTTCCGGCCCTGGTCCCCAGGGGGCGGGGAGTTGATGTTTCTCACAGGTGGTGGCGTCACCTCTGCCATGGGTTCCTTGGCACCTGGTTCCTGGTCGGAGGCCCCTCTCTCTGTTTTCCTCCACTTGGCTCTTCGGTTCTGGAACCAAACCTAAATCAGAATGGGAAACACACACCCAAGGGAAGCATAAAATCAGAAAAGAGGGAGGAGCCAGAACCCCAATGTGAAGGTCTAGACCCCGGGCAGGTGCCCACGGCTCACCCTGCAGCCCCTGCCTACTTTGTACTCTCTGAACTGAGCTTCTGTACCATGGATGGGTTGGATCATCTTCCAAGCTTATGACAGGCATGTTTCAAGAATGAATGTTGAATAATAGAAAGTATTTAAATGCATTGCCCACAGGAAGGGTAAAAGTATTGCCTTGTGGAGATTCTCAGAGCTGCGTTGCCCGGAGTCCATTTATTTGATGTGAAACGTATTTACTGCTGGGGGATCATTGTTAAAGCAGCTTGGAAAACACCACTCCAGGCCTTCTCATCAAAAAGACTCATTCAGTCATCCAACAGGCTGAGGCCTGGGTGTATCTGGTCTCATACCTGTCGTCTAACTTCGAAATCATCACAAGTTCATGACCAGCTCAGTGCACCTAATAGAATCCCTGACTCTGGAGTCGGCTATGATTTAGAATTCTGGGCCTCGATTTAGACCCACTGCAACCCTATGAGGTAAGTAGTCCTGCTGTCCCCATTTTACAGATAGGGAATTAAACACAGAGAGGTTAATTAACATGCCCAAGGTTGTCCAGATGGCAAATGACAAATCCACAATGTGAAGCCCAATGACGTGGCTCAGGACCATGATTCAAACTATTTCGGGGACAATGATAACAGCAATCCCAAGCATCATTAGGAAGGTTGACACGCATGTAAAACACTGAACACAGTACCAGGCACATAACAATCAATCACTCAATGAATATTAGCTAGTGTCATCATCTCTATTATCCTCGAGTCAGCAGGAGGCTTGTGATTCACCTTGACTTAAGCACCTTCTTAGAGAGGGGTGTCAGATTTTTTAAGCCTTAAAAACCAAACTACTTTTGCAGAAGGACAGGCTGCATAGAAGCCGGTAAATCCAAACTCAAGGTGTACCCTAAGGTACCAAAATCCCACTGTCTTTAGTGCATCAAGCAAAACCTCTCCTCTCCTCTCCTCTCCTGGGAGACAATCCTTGACTTTATTTAAAAAAAAAAAAAAAAAAATTGGCTAGGCCTCCCTCTGATTTAGGGCTGGGGTTGGAGGCCTCCTCTCCTTCTGCCCCGGCCAGCACACTGGCCAGGAAGACAGCCTGGGTCCTCAAGGCTGAGCCCTCTGCCAACCCGCCCTATCTCTTCATTTTCATTCTCCTTTAACTGGGTTTCTTTCTTTCTTTTTTTAATCGAGTTGGCTTTTAATTGCACATATCAGCAACCATTGAATAATGATTTTATCTATATTCTAAATTTAGGGCAGTTAAATGCAAAGCAAAATGCAGACACTTTCTTGCGTCTTAATTGAATGAAGGTCACAGCTATAACAACATTTAATTGAGCTATTTTTCATTATCATATTTTAATGACTTTGCACTGACAGTTCGCCTGCTTCTGAGGAAAGAGCATGATGGAGTCGTTTATTTCCCTATTTAGTTATTGTTTGACAACATCAGCTTCGATTAAGACCCTGCTTTATAGAACATTAATCATATTTGAATGAGCAAGGGGTATAAATGTAAACACATCTCCCTTCCCGCCACCAAAGCCCGTGTCCCCACACGGAAGCTCACTAAACAAATGCTTCGCAGCCATTGTCTGGCTGCATAATAGCCAACAACAGCCTGGACAACAATTCCCAGCTTTAATTGTCACCACCCCTATCTTACCCTTGCACCTTTCAGGGAGAAGTTATGATCTTCCACTTCTGAATGTTCAATAATTGTGTCATTTATCTCAATTTGCAGTTCAGTCTTTAGGCAGCTATTGGCAAGCTAGCATTAAAAAAAGAAACGATAGACGGTATCCTGGCCAAAGAAGATTTTCATTTCCAAATAATAATCAGTTTAATTTGCCCGCATATGACCAATGATTCATGTTCAGATTTAATAATCAGGATCACATAATCTGATTATAGGGGAAATAATTTGTTTACAACCCCCAATTTACTGCTCAGAATTCCATTATCTCTCTTCAGCCATTGGTTTTTAAGAGATACTAACATGACCCAGGGGAACCGAAAGCAAACTATTATATTTCCTACAATTAGATCTTTGCATAGTCTTAACCCCAAGCCCCTACATAAAAAAGAACAGAAACAGCATGGAGGAAACCCCATAAATAAAATGAATATATAATTGTGCTCAAAGAATAGCTCGCCCGGAGAGGCGGCACTGTGAATCTGTTCTTCCCGCACTCGGGCACATCTGCTGGGCTCGGCGGGTTTGTGCGCTTAAACATAATCACTGTGTAGCTTCGAAAAAGAAATCCTGCTTAGAGGCGCTTCACGCAGGCTGTGCTCATCTCAGCTCAGCCCTTTCACTGCACTGTTTAAAGATTTTTAAATTGCACGCATTCTTCGGATCCACTTTGCTGAAAGAGTCCACGTGCAGGGGAAAAGTTGGATATGATGCAATTTCTGGAAAGCAGATCCTATCCTGCTTCCCATCTGAAAACGCCGGTTCTCTGCAATTGACCGGCCTCACCCCAGAGCGGTCAGATCTGCTTTGAGAATAGCATCTCAGCTTTTTTTTTTTTTTTTCCAAAGCAAGGAAATGGATGTGCATTGATGTAATTTAGTACCTTAGAGACGCGGACAAATTAGTGTAGAACATTATCACTAGTTAATTATGAATGACCGATTAATCAACCTAATCTAATATTCCACATTATGTTGATGTTATTAAAGTGCATCATGAAAATGACAGATAGTCTTCATTTGCTTTCTTTGGCCAAATGTGCACTCTGCAGTCATGATGTCAAAAAAAAAAAAGTTTGCCAGTTTTAATATTAGAGAGTTAAATAATTAAAAAGAAGGTTTACCTGCACTCTGGCTTCTGTGAGGTTTATTTTCATGGCTAGCTCTTCTCTAGTGAAGACATCTGGGTAGTGTGTTTGGGCAAAGACTGCCTCAAGAGCTTCCAGCTGGTAAAAGGGAAAAAAATATTTACTGGTGAGAGGCTGCGGCTAGGTGAGGGGAAGCAGATGCACATTTCAAAGCTGCTATGAGCAGTGAGGAAGCAGTTTCACAGATCCAATGAAGGAAGGAGATAGAGAAAAGAGCTCCTTGAATGGATTCCGCAGAATGAGAATTTCAATCCCAGATGACTTAGCAATTCAGACTTAATGACAACCTCAATGCTCTCCCAAGAAGTGGAAATGAGAGAAGTAGGAATATTTCTTGCATTTACATTTAAATATTGTCATAGGAATTAAAAATCCAGGGGTGGCTTTACAAACAGAGTAACTTGCGTAGCTTTCACCATGGGACACAGAGAATGAAATCTATTTGTAGAAGCCCTCCCCGGGCCAATCCCACAGAAACCTCATAGAGGTTTGTGGGTCACCTTCACAACTGCTCCACTTTGTTCAAGAGCAGAACAGAGACCCATCTCAGGGGAAAAACTCAACCCTGGGAAATACAAAACCAAGATTCCGGTGGTAGCCCTCCCACCTGTGGCGACAATACCATCTATGAGACAGTCAACTTCATGGGTCCCAGTTTTTCCATCTGTCTACTTGGGGTCAGAAGGTGTGACCTGCCTTCCTCAAAGGGTTATTGTGTGTTGACCTGGGATATGCCCCACGCCATCAACTTAAGACCAATGGTAGAGATCACTGTGACCTCTTCATTAGGCTTCCTGGAATCACAAGACAAAGTCAGCTACCCTCCCCTGGACATATTTCTTGATTCATAAATTGTTCAAGAAAATAAAAAGATCCATTAACGTAATCAGTTGGCCTTATTTTGAATGACAAGAAGTTGCTCAGCTCTGACTTCACGGAGGCAGGAGGTAACTGACTCTGAGAACTGGGGATAGATCTTGTTACCTGCTGAAGGGTGAAGGTCGTCCGGTTCCTTCGCTGTTTTCTTCGCAGAAACCCATCATCAAAATCCCCTGTAGAGTGGTTGCCAAAGGGTGCAGTGCCTACTGGGAACAAACTGAATCAGCCCGAGCAGAGGGCCCCTTGGTCCTCAGAGAGCCCCCTCTCTCTACAGAGGCCAGCATTGCAAGCTCACTCAGGACACCTGCCCACCCCTTCCAGAGAGGGTCCATCTATCCCAAAGTGTTTTTCTCTGCTTCTCTTAAGAGAATGATATCTCTTTCTACTCTCTTTTCCACTCTCTCCTATTCTCTCTCTCTTCAAAAAACCTTTGACTTTAGGCCCAGCTGTCTCTATTGCATGGGGTGGCAGTGACCTTAATCCCCAAGATGGCCAAGTGCACTCTGGATTCTGATCCAGGAGATGTCATTGGCTTGAGGCAGAGCCTTTATCTGCCCTCCAGCCCCCAGCTGCACCTTGTCCCATGTGCCTTCATCTCACCCGCCCACCTCAGACCCTTTAATAGGAGGCTGTACGTCTGTCTGTCTTTTGCTCGCCTGTTAGTCACTTTCCCCTGTTTCTATATCCAACAAGGGTTAAAGGCTGAGGAGGGGGGAGGATGAGGGAAGAAAGAAAGCACCAAGCGCTTTTCACAGCACTTTTCTCCTAGAAGTGCAAAATGCAAGGAGTAAGAAGTTTATAAATGAATATTAATTACCATTCGTCACAGCTCATCAGCACCATAGTGGATCTGTTATATAAGATGTCAGTTAACAAAAGACCTGTACCAATAGTGACTGCTTTGAATGCCAAGCAGACACAAACAGGGCCACTCTCAAAAGACACTCACTCTCCAGTCAGGCCTTATAAAGCACCTACTGCTCTCACTTCCCTAGAAAAGAAAGACATTGTCCTGCCCAGAAGCCTCCGAAGCTCATGATAAAGCCAGAACAGAGTTTGGCCCCAAATGTGCACTCAGATCATTTTCCAAATGTGCGCTATTTACTTGATAGTCCACAATGGCTTCTTAGGAAAACAAATGAGCAAGTTTCCATTAACCAGTGAACACATTACCTGCCACGGGCCCCGTGCTCAGAGTCACTGCACATTCAGCATCAGGAGCTCCCAAGCCCAGACAACATCCCTCAGAAGGACCTCCATCCCGAGGAAGCCAAGTCCCCTGGACTTTTTAAAATTCCATCTACTAAAGGAGGTCCCTCTAGGTATTATTTTACCCTCCAGGGCCACATCCTTTGCCAGAATACATCCTTTCTCTCCCCCACTAAATCTTCCTGCCCAAACTGCATTCTTCCTCAAAACCCTAGTTAGAAATATTTCTTTCCAGCTCATTGGAAATTGAAAGGGGGCAGTCTCAAATCAGTCTTTTTTCCATTACTTTGCAAAAAGCTCAATTGTCTCCTTTTGGAACAAAGCACTTGACTGGGAAGGACAGAATGCAGCCTCTGAGGTCTCCAATCAGAATCTTTCCCAGTCTTCTAATTTATACCTTGTTGTCTATTATTTCACAATTATACATGTAACATCGTATTGTGAAATGTTGCATTGAATCCTAAAAAAAGTACAACTTCATCAATTTAATAATGAAAAATTGACAACCTACTAGAAAAGAAGAAGGGATGTGAACAGGCTTTTTACTTAAAAATACACAGAATGGTTGACAATGTTGTGAAAATGTTAAACCTCACATATACTTAAAATGCAACAAAAAAATGAAATACTATTTTCATGATTTAGGCAAAAAAAATTTAAATAAGGTACATAATAATACCCAATACAGACAAAAAGTAATAAGTTGGTTACACTCACTCATCATTTAGAAATATCAATTGTTTTGGCCTTATTAGAAGGTAATTTGACAAGAGCCATCAAAAGTTTAAGAGTATATACAGGCATTAATCTATTAATATACTTTAAAAGTGTGCCAAAAAAGGACAGACAAGAATGTGCCTGGAAACACTGTAACTGAGAAAAAAAAAAAAAAAAGAAACAGCCAAAGCACCCATCAGTAAACATTTTGTTCACAACATATAATGGAATATTATACAGCTGTCTAAAATAAATCAGTAGATTCACATACATTGGCATGGGAAAATCCTCAACATACATTATGAGGTTAAAAAAACTGCAGTATACTCCGACAGTATAATCTCAACACAAATATGGCATAACATATATAGAGAAAAGACATAAATGAGGAAGAAAGCATGATTTTTCTTGAAGGAATTATAAAAAACCCACAGGAGCAGGTGCCTTTAGGAAAAAACATAGAGGAGGATTTCACAGGCTGAAGTGTAGGTTTCTGTTCTATTCTTACTTCTCATGTAGGTACATACATGTAGTACTTTTAAATTTAATATCAGCAAAAATATCTGAGAAGTGACATTATGGGCCATGTTTTGCTCTCTTTTGAAAGTCTCTGAAAAACAATTTTAAAAAATGAAATTAAAAAGTCGATCGGCTATAAGATGCCACATTCCCAAAGTCTGTCCTCAGCTTTTCCATTTAGAACAGATCATCTTTCCACCAATAACACTAATCTAAACTAAATTGAAACTCCCCTTCCTGCAAAATTTGCATGGAAACACGCCTACAAAGGGAAAGGTGCTTAAAGCCCCATCTCCTTTTCTTCTGGTAATACCAATCAGAATCAGTATCAACAGGGAGTATGCCTAGGGTGTGGGCAGAAAAGGTAAGCTGACTGAGATGAGTTGAGAACTGCAAGCAGGACTCAGAGAAATCTGGAGCCAGCCTATCCCTAAGTCACTTCTGCAGCCCACCCTACAGACAGGGTTTTCCCCTTAGGTCACCCAGAACGTCCACCACTTGCTAAACGTCCAAACCTCTGCCTTTCCCACTTTGACCAGGAAAAGTGGTTGCCAGTGACAATCAGTCAACAGTTCAAGATTCCGAAGCACAGAGAAGGTGCCCCAACCATGGGTATAGGGGGTCTTCTCCAGTCTTGGGGTACAATGTCAAGCAATGGACCTCTCTGACTTTTCCATAAAGCTTACCCAGCATGAGTCATTGGTGGTAAGAGGAGGTGAAATACAGGCAAATGCATGGCCTTCCCTTTTCAGGAATGCTGACAGAGATAACAGTTCTTAAACACTGCTCTGCATTAGCCTTCTCTAGAAAATCCTGCTGGGCACTTTAGAGCTTTGGAGTAGGGAAACAAAAACAAACTTTCTGATATCCCAGGTAAGGCTGGCTAGGTGAGGGAGCATCCTCTGATGTCAGATCTCTCAGTGTCTAACCACATTTTGCCCTGCCCCAATCCCTCCCTTCATTTCTTGGCCTCCAAGCTTGTTCCACAACAAGAATAAATCAAAGAAGTAAGTTGTAAAAGGCCAATCCTGGTATTGCTTCCAGGATTGCAGAAGCCCTAGTATCCCCAGAGTATATCTTTGAAGAAGTCTCTGTTCAAGCCCAGTGTGTGGGGCTGCCCTGATGGATACTAATCTCTACCCTCAGAGGACACACCCTGGGTACCGCTAGGCCCTGCATGAAGGCACCCCGAAGTTCAAGGTGCTCCCTTCCCGCCACCCACCTCCACCCAACAATCAGGTGCAGATGACACTAGGGATCTTGAGGGAAATTTTTTCTAAGGTCTGGAGATCTTCAAAGACCAGATCCCCACCCTGGCCCTGGGGGATGAGAAGTGGAGAGTGGATGGCGTTTGGAGTCAGAAACCCAGTGAATCGCAGAGTAAGACCCATGGTAGGGCACGGGGCAGGTGGTAGGCTGGGCAGCTCGGCCTCCAGGGACTGACATTAAGTCGCCCAGAATAGCCGAGCGGGGGAGCTTGGAGCACTCCTGCCCAAAAGCCTGTAGTGACAGCAGCCCAGCAATGGGTCCTTCTTTGCTCGCGGTGGGGCCCAGGACGCGGGGGGTCAACTCGCCTTGGCTTTCCGGGATGTTTGCAAAACACCGTGAAAGATTGATGCAGCCCCCTGGGCAGAGAAGCCCGGATTAGAGGCGTGACACCAGCATCTGTGCTGGGAGGACCAGCCCTCCCCGCGGCAAGCATAGCCCGGGGCAGCCGGTCCCGGGCGGGGAAGGAGGTGGGAGGCAGGTGGCTGTGGGAGGCAGGTGGCTATGGGGGACGGGAGACGGGGGATGGAGCACGCTGTGGGAAGGATGCTAAGGGCGCCCCTACTCACTGCCAGGCTACTGCCCCTCTCAGGGTGGGGACCCCACCACCCGCCAGCACTGCTGTCGCTCTGGCCCTTTCTGGCCGGCTTCTGCTTTGGCCTCTCCAAGCAGCCGCGGGTGCGGCGCTTACTCACCCTCTAGCTGTGGCGGACAGTGGAAATAAAACATCGCCGACGGTCTGATGGACTAGGCGGCCGGACTTGGGTGGGTGGCGGCGGGACCGACGGGCGCGCGTAGCTCCGGCCTGGCTGCAAAGCAAACAGCAACAGAGCCTAAGTGTCTTGCCTGCGCTCCGACCCGGCCCAGGGGCGCACGGAGAGCACCACTCTTGAAAAGCCCCCTCCCAGCGCCTTCAGCCCACTTCGGGGACAGGAGGGGAGGTGGCGGCACCTCCGGTCGCAAGCCAGGAACCCGCAAGGTGGGGAGGGTCCACCTCCCGGAGAGCTGAACCCTCACCCAGGCCCAACACCAAACCCGCAGTCTGGTTTCGGGCTGCCAGGGGTCCTGGCCGCAAGCCCTGCACCAGGCCACCGCAGCCGGTCCTGCGAACGCACAAGGCCAGCTGCTCCGGCGGCAGCTACCGCCAGGAAGACAGTCGGCCCCAAGGCCGGGTATGAGGGGCCCGGGGAGTGGGTTGGGAACCCCGAGTACCTCCGCAGGAGGCTGGCGAGAAGGCCAGAGCGTGACCGCCTCCGGTCCGCACGCGGGGTCCGGCTGGCGGCGGGCGGGGCTCGGCGCTGCTGGCGCCCGCAGGACCAGAGAAGTGACTCGGGAAGTGGCCAGATGTCTTGCTGTCTGTCTACAGCGCGCGCCGCCGCTCAGCACTCGCCTTTATAATCTCACGCATAATTGGCCTTAATCTGATTATTTCCAGCGCTGTCTACAGCGAGTAACTTGGATAGGTCTATTGGGCCTTACAAATGGCCCACGTGGTGTAAAAAAAAAAAAAAAATCCGTCATTTCTCAGCAAACATCGGGAATGTTTTTCCTCTTTTCTTTTAAAAGAGGATAGAAACAACCGCCACCAACAACAGCCCCCCAAAAAAGAGGTTATGTTTTGAACACTCGGCCACCCCACCCCGTGTCCCCTCAGACTCAAACCTTCTTTCTCCAGGAGAGAATGGATTTGGGTTCGCCCTTGTCAGAGGCCTGGCGACTCCCGGGCTGCAAATTGACAAAGCGCTGCTAATTGTCGCCACCGGATGGGTTTTGGGGGGACTCTTTGCACACGGCTTCCCTTTCCAAGCGATCGTACAAGAGGAAAGTTTGATTTTGTTCTCAGCAAGGGGTCCCTGAATTTATGTTCGCTTCTCCATGCAAATGATATGCGGTGGGACCCTTCGCAATTACTTTTAAAATGCATCGGAGGCAGACACTCAGCGGAGAGAGACCGCCCTTCTCTCTGCCTGGGTGAAAATTAAACTCTAAAGTACCGGGCTGAAATTTTCAAGTCAGGGGCGCGGGATTGGATCAAATCACATAAACTGCAAAAAAAGCAAGTCTAATGGCGCATAATTGGTTCTGTAATAGCATTACACCAGGATAATAGCCCGTTACGGCCCCCTGCACTATTAAGTGCTTCCCTGGCGGAAAGCCTTTATGATATTAAAGGGGGAATATAATGATATTTTGGTTATTAAATGCGTGTAATTAATTTATGCACCACTGAAAATAAAGTTGGTATTATGACCCACTCAAGATGCATCAGAAGATGCAAGTCAGACAACTGTTGATAAGTTCTGGTGTCTGTGTTCCGTCTAGACTGCTGATTTTATTTTTGGGACGATGGCTTCTTGGACAGACTACATAAATTGAATATTTTATAAACATTCTAATGCTGCGTTCGGGAGCTTTGGCGAGGCGGTGGGTCGAGTCCCTGCCCGGGCCCGGAATCCTGCCTCGATCTTAAAGACGCAGCGCGTTGGAAACAAAAGGCCTGGCGGGCCCACTCACGGACATGCGCCCCTGGGCGAGTAGCGTCCAGCTGAAGGGCTGAGTGCTAGGGCCCTGGCTCGCGATGGACATCCCTCCGAAAACAGCCCCCAGGAAGACACCGCACCGCTCCAACTGAGGCAAGTCGTGACCTGTTTCACGGAAGCGGACCCTCCTGGGTTCAGTCATCGGGACACCAGAGTCCCGCCCAGCCGCTAGCAAGGAACCGCTGAAAACTCCGGCTCTGTTCACGGAGACCCCGCGGCGCCAGATTTGCCAGGGCACTGATTCCGGGAGTCCAGGAGGCCAGCCTGGGAAAACGCTGCAGGTCCGGGAGGCGGGTGAGGTAGCTGGCAGGGGCCAGCCGGAGCCGAGCGCGCGGTTTCCCACTACTTGGAGAGGCCTGGAGCCCCGGGAGCAGACCTTTTCTCAGCCCCAAGCCAAGAGGCTGGCTCACGGGTGCTTGTCTCCTTCTCTCTCCCTATCTCCCTCAGAGGCACCCAACTCTGCAACCCTTTAAAGAGCCAGGTCGGATGCCCCTTTTGCGCTCCTGAGTCTGCCAAAAGACCCCTCGGATTCCCTCCTGACCTACGCAGCAACTCCCCGCCGGTGCGCCCGGTGCGCTCCTGTAGTTCAGTGGCTGTGAAGCGAGGTGAGGCGGGGGTCCCGACCATCTCCGCCAACACGTTCCAGGTTCACTTGCGTATCTGTGCGGGGGGAACCTTAGCACAAGCAGCCCAGCTCTGGGAGCTGCATTGGCCCCAGAAACCTATGAGGTCCAACCCACAGACTCAGCTCCCCATCCCCGACATGAACTGACAGAGGTTCCCATCAAAGCTTAGAGGTGGACTAGATGAAGTTTGTCTTGGCAGCGCACTCCCGGCGCTTTTCGGCCGATCAGAACCCTGGACAGCGACGCTGTTTTTCCCCACCCCATCCCTGGACTTCTGCAGGGAAAGAAGCGGGTCCCGACGGCCTGTCTGGGGCCCTGCGCTATGCGGCTGCGAGATCCGCCCAGCCGGATTCTGGGCATTAACGGACCTCAATCCTCTACCAATACAGTCTACGAAAATTACTTGGGACGCGCGCGGTCGCAGCAAGGTCCGAACTCCTGATTCCACAGTCGCAGGAGAGGATCCTACTCTGAGGTTCCAACCCGGAAACATCCCACGGCCCCTCGCCTCCTGGCCCCCGCCCTCCCCGCGCCCTTCGACAGGATCCTGGATGCTTCGCTGGCAGGACCACCAGCCGAGCTCCGGGAAAAGACTTACCTTGCACAGGGCTTCAAGTCAGCTCCGGACCCTCGGCCTCGCCTCGCCCGCCGTCCCTCTCCCAGAGCCAATAGTCTGGGTTCGTTTCTTCTGGCAAAACAGCGAATAAACAAACAAACAAATGCAGAAACGAAAAGCTACAGTAAACTTTGATGACGCAAGCCCCCTATTTCCCAAATCGTCTCCATACTCTGGGCCCTGGAGAAGGTGATTAATAGGTATTCGCTATGGTCCCCTTCTCCTTCCCAAAAAGAGCACTAGTAACGAAACGGTTATATTTTTTTTTCTTAATTCTTGTGCTGTAAAATGTATTTTCCAATTAACCAAATTCGCCGATCTGTCCCGCTTGGACACTCTGATAATTTACAACCTAAAAGTGTACTTTCTTTATCTAAAGACCAAGGTGACTGCTTTTAATTTTCTCTAACCTCTTTACACTTGATGTTCACCAGACTCATAATGTTAATTGGCTTCATATACGGATCATCAGTTTAATGAAGAAATAAATCCTGTGTTGCTTTATGTTTTAACAGTGATTGCTTTAATGAGGAATGTGACGTGTTCCAAAATCAAAGCTGTAGGAGACATTAGAAGGGATTTCTATTAGGACTGAAATGCTTATTTAAAGTTAAAATCATGGGGTCATATATTTCAACAGATTTTCCTATTGCCCGCCTTCACTTCCATCCTCTGCAAGGAGATAATTCTGTATTCCTCAAGCCTTCTTCTCTATGTATTTAATGCACAGCAGCGGCAGAAGCTGCATCCCCTCTAAGAATCATTTTCTGGTTACTAAATAGGGTGTGCTACCTTACCTCTTGTCCAGCAGGGCAAATAAAAGCCAGAACAGAGTAAGGAGTTTGACTTTCAAGGTTCTTCACTTTTTTAAAAAATAAAGTGGGAAGAAAGTAGCACACTCACACCCCAAGATGTGTGCAGAGGCAGCTCCCCCAATGCTTACATCCCTGGTGCTGAAAATTCAAGGCTGAGTTCCTAAAGGCAGACAGCTCAGCTTAGGCCAAGTAGGCTGCTGATGACCCGGGCTCTGGCCCCTGAAAATATCTGTAGGGGATGTGCTGGACTCCCGCCCAGGTGATGAGATCTTTACATCTCTATATCAATTAATAGCAGAGTAAATCTGTGTTCTCTAATGTGTGTTTGATTTTTCTAATTTTAAGCTGGTTCTATGAAGGGAAAGCTGTCATCACAAAAACACTGAGAGCAGCAATAAAATGTTGGAAATGGGATCATCTATACACGCAAACCCTCAATTGTTTTCAGTTGAATTATGAGTCATTTTAAATTGATTCCTGAAAAGAATTCTAAATCCTTAGAAATGTAGGGATTTGAGACTCTGGATTGAGATCTCTGACACCACACACAGTATTAACTTTTTCCATTTGCTCTGTTTTAGGAAAATCGAGGAAATATTTGAAGACACGTCTATACATATATTTGAGCCCAAATACATATAAGCTGGATTTCATATCTCAATGATATGAAGAGCGGGGGAAAGAGCTTTTTCCAATCTCCCTTTTAAAACTTCCTTAGCAAAAACAATTTCAGTAAACATGACTTAAATCCATAGCAATGAAGGTAGAGCAGATAAAAATACTTCATTTTGGACTGGGACGGTAGCTCAATGGTAGAGCACTTGCCTAGCACACCTGAGGCACTGGGTTCGATCCTCAGCACCGCATTTTAATTAATTAATTAATTAATTTAAAAGGTATTGTGTTCATCTACAACTAAAAAATTTTTTTTAAATATTTTACTTAGCAGGAAGAGAAATAAAACACATTGACTTGCTATGCATCAAAACATAGATCCTTTCAAAGAGGGGTCCAGATGATTTTTACTTTATTTTGACAGTAATTTTTTTTTAAATTCCCGCATGTAATTTCCAGTGACCACACAGCTCACCTGAGATGGAAGGCACAGTACACGTGTGCTCAGTGTGAATACAACATGCTCTCTACTTATCAGCAAATCTATTGTCATTCTGTAGTTTTGGAGATTGCCAATAAAGCTTGGGTTAGCTAAACATGATAGAATATATTTTTTAAAATAGCAGCTAATTGAAGTTCCACATGAACAGGAGACTTATGAACAGAAATATATATATATTTATAAATACATATATATACATATGCACATACAGGAAAAGGGATAGATATGCATTTTATTATCTTGCAAATTCTATATAATTCACTAGTTTTATTGTCATGTAAAAGTAATAACAGCTGCTCAAATGCAAACCAATAACCTCACCTTGTTATTGACCATAGAACAACATGGACTGCCATGTGGTACCCTAGGGTCTTCAGCTTTTGACTCTATGTTTGCTCCTAAACTTAGAAGGGGTCTCCAGTCCTCCAAACTTCACAAGAAGAAAAGGCAGTGTCTGCTGCCTATAGAGTGTGTGCAACCCTAGATCCATCCAAGCAGGCTCTGGTCCAGAGGATCTAGGTAAACTTGAACAGGTCACTTACTCTCACAGGACATCTGTAACTCTTTCCATGAAGTGGGACAATAATGCCTACATGGAGTGCTGGGGAGAGGATTAAAAGACCATTCAAGAACATTTTTAGGACATTCAAACTATTCTGCATAATTCTGTAATTATGAATACATGCCATTTGACTTTTATCCAAACAGAGAATGTCCAACACCAAGAGTGAGCCCTAATGTAAACTATGGACTCCGTGTGACAATGATGTATCACAGTAGGGTCATTCCTTATTATAAATGTATTTCTCTGGTGTTGGCTGTTGATTGTGGAAGAGTATGCACATCTATGAGAGATGGGACTGTATGAAACTCTCTGTAGTTTCTGCTTGGTGTTGCTATTTGTAGAAAATACCTCTTGGAAATAAAGTCTATTAAAAATAAAGAAAAAAAGTTTTGGAAAGACAGTGCTGAACACAATGTCCATGACCCAACTACTCAGTGAATTCCAACTATACCTATCTTGTTCTTATTTTTATTGTCTTGCTTCTACTATGGTGTATAATTCTCTGGGCTTTCCTGGCCCCATTAGGGAGCTGTGCCTAGGGAGATGTTACAGGACCTGCTTTGGATACTTGTTCCCTCGTTGCCTCCACAATGTATTCCTCATGAGCTAATCCAACACCCACCCTTAGGAGAGATCCATGGTGGCTCCTCATCTTCATCTGCCTATCTGACATCTTGGCTACCTTACATTTTTCCACTTTTCACACTCAATGGCCTAGTTTGTTGAGTATCACTCAGCACAGCTATTTGACTAGAAAATTTCAACCAAGGTCCTGGATTAAAGGTATTGTATTTGATCAACAGAAATCTTTTAGAAACTTCAATCAATTGCCATTAACCTCGGCACATCAACTCCACTTCGCCACAGGTCTCACTATTCCACACTGCTTTCTTCCAGACCACCTCTCACATTTGTATAACCCACCTGGCCCCTGCAGGAATCTGATTCTCTGATCCCTGACAAATTTTTTATGAGTTTACCAATTATCATCCCCAGACTGACGGTCATTGCTTGTCAAGTGTAAGGATAGAAAAGGGGTGTGTTCAGGGAAAGCCCTGGAGGGCAGGGTCCAGCTGAGTTCATTTCAGTCACCACTTATCTACACCTACTTGGTGCTAGGGGAAGAGGACACAGACCTGAGGTCATGGCCTCAGAAGTCAGCCCCTGAATGTTCTGGCTAGGAAAGAAGAAGAGGAATCTACAAGAAAGGATACCAGTACCATTTGGAAATCAAACCAGAAGACACTGGATCCACTAGACCTTCTCCCCACTGCCCTGGAGGAACTTCTAGAAGGGATGCTCTTGGTTGAAGAAGAATTCCGAATTCTCACATTCCCTCCTGCAACTTCAGATGGAGAAAAGCCTGCAGTCACAGTCTCCCCTGGCCCAGGGTTTGCATCAGA